TTTAGAAGTCGGCCATCTTGGATACAACTTTTGTTTTTTCAGTAGGAAGAGGGCCATGTGACACATCAAACTTATTGGTAATGTCACAAGAAAAACAATGGTGTGCTTGGTTTCAACGTAACTTTATTCTTTTATGAGTTATTTACAATTTACCCTGTACATCTCTAAAAATGTAACTGTAGATGTATCTATAACCTAATGATAGGACAATTTTACCACACCTTGATCACAGGGGGTCTGTTTCTACACTTCCACGCTCCACACACTTTTGAATACAAGGTTCTTGGGGAAAAAAAAATGTAATTAGAGGGAATACTTTCAAGTCAACCAGTGCTGATTTTGGCCAGGCTGTGCACACATTTGATGATGCACATTTGTGCAGACTACAGGGAGTCAGTTGGGAGCAGTATTATGCCAGGATGGTTAGCAAGTACACCTGTAAGAAAGAAGAAATGAAAGTACTGCAAAGCACTGGTTTTACTAATACTTCAGATATAGGAAATGTGTTTTGTATGTCTGCTTTATCCTTTAAAGACTCAGTTCAGTTCAATTCAATTCTATAGCACCAAAAAACAACAGCAGTTGCCTCAAAGCCCTTTTTAATTGGAAGGTAAAGACACTGAAAAGATGCACAGATTGCCTGATTGTGAGATACAGACAGTGCACTATTATTTACAATGAACGTGATCAAGGTGTTTAATTTAAAGGAGTCTGTGAAAAGTGAGTGAGACACATATGGAGGGAACATTATGGCAAAATGTCTAGACTGCCGTTATTGGATTTATAATAAAAAAGCAGCTTTAAGAGTGATAAGATGACCTCAGGCTATGCTAACTCAGGAAATAATTACAGTGCATTACAACAAACTAATATTATACACAGTAAAATACACAGTTGGGACAAAAATGCAAGCACAAGAAATAAAAAGAAATAAACCTGAAAATATTTCAACTGAAATACAAAACATAAAGAGCAGTTTTAGGAATATAATAAATTGTATTTCAGTCGCTGTCAAAAATACGCTGAAATTTAAAAGAAAGCTGTCCTGCGCCAATAAGTATTTAAAAGTTATTTGACAGAAAACGCTGATGCAGCAGACACGAGTTCCTGACATCCCAACCGAGAAACAGCAAACACTCGTCCCCCACTCAGTCTTTAAGTGTGAGGCAACAGTCAGCAGGTTGCTGGTTGCGGCTCACAGCCTGTGCATCAGTGCTTG